AGTGGGGGTGGGGGCAGGGGCAGGAGCACGTACTTGGTCTCATTGTCCAGCTGCTCCTCCAGCTGTGCGATCTTGGCCTCGAGGGCAGTGATGGAGGCCTTGTACTTGGACTTGACAGTGCCCTCCATCTCCTGCAGCTTGACCTTGAGCTCCTTGTTCTGGCGCTCCAGCTGCTGCCGAGCATTCTCGTTCTTCTGGGCGTGGCTGCGCTCCAGGTTCAGGTCAGTGTTGATCTGGTCGATCTGCAGGAGAAGGGCTGGTGACCTCGGGGAGGGCTGGGCCCTGGCTGGAGGGGACGAGCAGGGCGGGAGGAAGGCAGCAGCAGGATCCCACCACACCCTGGGGGTCCAGAGGCTTGGGCCTCCCAGAAAAAGCAGGATTAGAAACTTCTGAACACCCAGCAGAAAAGCCAGAGGGTGCTCTTTCATGTCCAGTTGCCTGGACATATTCCCTCAAGCAGCGAAGCAGCGGCACGTGGCCGGTGCGTCTGCTGGCTGGGTCCGAGGCCAGTTCTGCCAAGGTGGCTCCAGAGCTGAATGGGAGAAGGCTAGCCGGTGCTGGCACCTACCTGCAGGTTGGCCTTCTTCAGGCGGTCATTGATCAGCTCCGTGTTGCCCTGTTCCTCCTCCAGCTCCTCCTCCAGCTGCACGATTCGGGCCTCCAGACGCCGTTTCTCCTCCAATGCCAGGGCTCTGTGGGGTTGGTGGGAGGAGTGAGGGGCCAAGCCCAGGGACACACCTGGTCCCTCCCAACTCTGCCCCTCACTCAGCTCACCCTTTGCCGCTGCTGTTGGCGATCTCGTCGGCCAGCTCGTCCCGCTCTTGCTGGGCCTGGCGCTTGGCACGCTCTGCAGCTGCAAGTTCCTGCCACAAAGATCCAGAATGTGACCTGAAGGCAGCCACAGCCCCAAAAGACCACCCTTCCCAGCCCTGGGCACCCTCCTCTCAAGCCCTTCCCCAGCCCCACCTCCCCAGAAAGCTCTTCCTCCAGGATTCCTCTAGCTCACAGGGCTGGTGCCCCCCTAAAGTCATAGCTTAAAAGCATTGTATGTTTATAAAACTCAACTAACACTTAAGTGCTAGGAATCAAGCCAGGTGCCAGGGTGTGTTGATGACTAACAAGTGTCCTGGCCTAACCAGGGTAGACCACGTGGACAGAGCCGCTCACTGCTGCCCCGGCCCTGTTCTGGGTAGCCAGAGCCCGGAGTCAGCTCCGGAGCCTGCAGGCAGGAGACGACTGTACCCTGGACACACTCACACCCGGCAAGTCACACTGCAGGGCACCCTCTAGACCCAGGAAACACTTCAGGACTGGCTCAGGTGCGACACGGACAGGGCAGCCACAGGGATGCTGAGACCCTCCGTCACCAGGACACAGTCACGGTAGGAGGTGGTGGCAGCCACGGAGCCTCATCTGATGTGAGGCATTTCACTCACACACACTCTGATCATACCAGGGAGGCCCACTATGTAACGGAACCCTGGAGGGAATCCTTTTGTAACCAATTCCCGGAGCTGAGTCAGACTCCAGCCCTACCCTCTGCTGAAAGCCCCGTGCTGCCGCCTGCTGGCTGCAGGGCAGCAGTGCCGCTCTCCACTGCCGCCCCACCCACCTCCTGCAACTGGATCATCTCAGCCTCCATGCTCTTCAGCTTCTTCTCGTTCTCTTTGGCCTGGGCCAGGATCTCCTCGCGAGAGGTGCGGGTGTCGTCCAGCTCACGCATGCAGTCTTTCATCTGGGCCTGGGGCAGGGACAGAGGCTTGGCACCCCACCCAGGTCCTTGGCCCTCCACCCCCACCCTTACACGTCATCTCTCACACAGGGATGTTGGCTGTGCTCTGCTCAATATTTAACCAACTAACCATGGTGACAGGGAGAAAAAGCAACTGTGGACAAAAATCTGTGTCCCATCTCATAACGCACACTTTGACAGTGTTGGTCACTGTGGACGTAAGCCCAGGCTGAGCTTCATTTTCCACTTCTGTCCCCTCTGTGGGCCGGAGACCAGTGCCCACGGTGCCACCCCTAATGCACACCTGCTGCTTGAAACCAGTGCCCAGCCTGGCAGGTGTCCCCACCACAGGCAGGAAACACCTTTTCTTTTGTTACTCACCTCTTACTTGTTTTAATGCTAAAGATTTTTTGTCAAATACTCTTTTTTTCCATTTGCAGCTAACTCCAAAAACAGATTCCCCAAGCCAAAGCGCATGACTGGGTGTGTGCAGCCAGACCACAGCAGCAGAACATGCCAACAGCAGAGTATCTGTGCCCCACAACCTTGCCCACAGTTAGCTTTTACAGATTTTTTTGCCCAGGCACAGCAGCTAACGCCTGTAATCCCAGCACTTTGGGAGGCCGAGGCTGTCAGATCATGAGGCCAGGAATTCGAGACCACCCTGACCAACTCAGTGAACTGCTGTCTCTACTAAAAATCCAAAAATTAGCCAGGCATGGGGATACACACCTATAATCCCAGCTACTTGGGAGGCTGAGGCAGGAGAATCGCCTGAACCCAGGAGGCAGAAGTTGTGGTGACACAAGATTGCGCCACTGCACTCCAGCCTGGGCAAAAGAGCAAGACTCTGACTCAAATGTATGATATGACATATCAGAGCTGTTTTTATGTGTTCATTATTCAATTATTGGTGAGGTGAAAATTTCCAAGTATGTATCCCACACTCTAGGCTGCTTCTCGGAACCATCACGCCGGAGCCCAGAAGGCTGGAGCATCAGGACGCGGCTGATGCTGGAGTCTGCACTGGGTGAGGCCTTCTGAACTCCCCCATGCCTGGGCCTGCACTTGCCTGTTTGCTTCTGTGTTTCATGTACTCAGCCATGCACCATTCTACAAGTTTGCTGGACTATTGTTTCCACTCACCTCTGAGCCTCCGTGTCTCCGTCAGTGAGATGGGGCTGGAAGCACCCAGGACCACCCCAAGAGGTGCCACCCTGCCAGGTTCACGCCCCAGCGCCCTCGCATGCAGCTGGCTCAGCTGGGCGCCGCCCGCCCTCACCTGCAGCTTCCGCAGCTGCTTGATGGCTTCATCCCGGTTCTTGTTGGCCGAGTCGATGTGCGCCTCCAGGTCCTTCAGGTCCATCTCCAGCTTCTTCCGGGCGGCCACTGCCATGGAGCGCTGCTTCCTCTCATCCTCCAGCTCTGCCTCCATCTCCCGCACCTGGAGGAAGGAACACTGACAGCTTGGGAAGCTGGACCCACTCAGAGACCCTGCTCTGGCTCTGAACCCAGGTGCCTCTGCAGGATCTGCGGGGCCTCCGGAAGCCAGTGGGGATTACTGACTCTAAGAATTCTAAGAAGGTGAGTCGCTGACCCGAGGGACAGGGGACTGGACAGGAGGGACAGGGGAGGGGAGGCGTGGTCCAGGGCCCTAATGCAATCCAGGTGGAAGGAAGAAATGGAAGCCTGCGTGAAGCCAGGGCAACCCTGGCCACCATGGAGTAGCAGGAGCCCACGCACACCTGTCTGACCAGCTGCTTCTTCTTCTCCTCACTCTGCTCGTCCCGGCCCTGCAGGTCCCGCTCGAACTGGGCCTTCATGGCCTGCAGGTTGACCTCCAGCCGCAGCTTGGCATCTTCAGTGGCCTGCAGCTCGTCCTCCAGCTCCTCCAGCTGGGTCTTCATCTCCTCCACCTGCTGCTCCAGAGCCCGCTTGGACTTCTCCAGCTCATGGACCTGAGCCCCAGAGAGCCCAAGTCAGGAGCAAAGGGACTGGCAGGGACCTGGGTATGCTAGACCCGGAACGTGTGCACGTGTTGACCCTCTGTGATGACCCCACTCGGGCCCCTCCCAAGGCCTGGCTGCCAGGCCCGGCACTCACGCTCTTGCCCACGTCGTCCTTGGAGCTCATGAGGTCCTCCATCTCCGTGCGGAACTGCTTGTTGAGCCGCTCCAGCTCCGCCTTCTGCTCCATGGCTTCCTCCAGGGCTCGGGCCAGTGACAGTGCCTTGGTCTCCTTCTCTCGGGCCTCAGCCTCGGCCCGGTCACGCTCCTCTGCATACTTGGCAGAGATGGTCTTCTCCTCTGCCAGGAGCTGGGAAAGAGAGGGGTACCATGAGGCTCAGCCCCACAGGCTCTGAGCTACAGCCCTTAGCAGGGCAGAGCAGCTGGGCCCAAGCTAATTTTTGTATTCTTAGTAGAGATGGGTTTTCACCATGTTGGCCAGGCTGGTCTCAAACTCTTGACCTGGTGATCCGCCTGCCTCGGCTTCCCAAAGTTCTGGGCTTATAGGCATGAGCCACCATGCCCAGTCAAGAGTGCATCCTTTAGAGTATACAGGCCCCACAGTCTCTGCAGTAACTCAACCCCACTACCACAGCGCAACAACCAGAGACGACACAAGAACGACAGTGTGTCCGTGCGTTCGGTCCAGCTTTCTCCCCAAAATGCAGCGGGCTGGACCCGGCCGCCGCAGTTCCATGCTCAATGTCTATCCCGCCCCGGTGTTCACATCTCCCTCAGCTTCCTGCAGATCTTTTAGAATAAGGAAGCAATAAGAATGCACAAATAAATGGTGTAAATCACGGAAAAACCAGCTCATTATAGAAAATCTGAAAAAACGTGAAAACCCAGAAAGGAAAAGTTCCTCCTCAACCCATTGCATGAAGATACCCTCTTCCGCTGGCCTTCTCCCCCAGCCCCTCAACAAGCCAGAGACTAGGGGTCCTCTAAGTGTTGGCCCCGCACGGCCCCTCCCGAGCAAGGTCTCGAGGGAGCCCAGGCTTTCTCTGATGAGGCCCTCGCCTTGGGCTGAGTGCTGGGAAGAGAGGAAATGCAAAAAATGGGGCAGACAGCCACATACCTGGTCAAACTTCTTCTGCTTCTTCTCCAGGTTGCACGCGGTCTGGCGCTGGTGGTCCAAGTCCACAAGCAGGTCGTCCAGCTCCTGCTGCAGCCGTGTCTTGGTCTTCTCCAGCTTGTCGTAGGCGGCCACCTTCTCCTCGTGCCGCTGGCTCAGGCCCTCCAGGTCCTTCTGGAGCTTCCTCTTCACCTCCTCTGCGGTTTCCAGGCACCCCACACTGTCCTCCATCTTCTTCTTCATGTCGGCCACCTGGGCAGGAGCAAGGAGTAAGCAGACGCCCGAGATGGCACCTGCTCAGGTCACACACCTGTCCCTGGGGCAGGTAAGAGCCTGCCTGCCACACTGTGAAAGGGGAACCAGGGATCTGCCCAGTTATGAAACTGCCTCCCCCAGTCACTTCCCTCTCCATGGTGGGGGAGACAAATGAAGTTTCTGCACAAAGGCATCCATCTAGTGTGTGAAGCTGCGGGGAGGCTGACTCCTAGGCCCGCTGTGGGGACTCCAAGCCCTCATCCACACCAAGCCTCTCGCTCTCTGGGGGACCACTCCCCGACAGCAAGGCCAGTGCCCTGTGGGGGTGTACACGGGGTCCCCATCACTCAGCCCTTGCATCTGCAGATAAACCTGCAACCACATGCGCTCGAAGGCGACTCCTACCCTGACTTTGGAATGAACTCCCAGCCCATCCCGAGGTGGTTCAGGCCTTCTGGCCTGCCACGTGGAGGCCTAAGATAGGATCTATGACAGGGGCCCTGACATTAGTCTAAGGACCCCTTGACTGACAGTCTAGAGAGGCCTAGGGACTCCTTCTCATGACAATGTTTTAACAGGCATGAAATAAACATAAGGGATCAACCAAGCAACCACTACAGAGAAATGCAGTTGCCATCACTCAGGAAGCCACGTGACGCCAGGTAGCACATCAGATAGCAAACTCAGCGCAGGCCTGGCAATCACGAGGCCAAAGAGCTCAGCCACGACCCTAACAGGGTAACTGGCCATTTCTCCAGGTGACAAGGGCACAGGGACTGCCAGCACCATGGCTTGCGGCTACGTTCATAATGGAAGCAGGGCTACATTGTAGCTAGACTGGTGAAAATAAAGTGTAAAAATAGTGGTGTCCCCCATCAAAGTCCACAGATGGATTACTCTCTTAGGGACTCAGGCTAAGAGCACTGATGTGGGACAGCGTGGGGGGGGGGGTCCCTGGGAGAGAGGGCAATAGGCTGGCCCAGCGGCAGGTTGTCCTGCAGTGCCCAGGCCAGCAGCTCTCCAGCCTGCAGCATCTGGCCAGTTCCCTGGGCCTCCGAACCTGGGCGTGGAGGGTGGCGATCTGCTTCTCCAGGTTGTGCTTGGCTTCCTCCTCCTCCTCCAGCTGCTCCCGGAAGGAATTCTTCTCATCCTCCACCTGCTTGAGCTTGGTGCTCAGGCCCAGCTTCTGCCGGTTCTCCTCCTGCAGCAGCTCCTACTCCCGGGATGAGATGGGTGGGGGGGCTCAGGAGAGCAGTTTCTGAACCCCAGGGACCCCACACCCTTGAGAAGAGGGAGGAGCTGGTCCTGCTGATTCACGGAATGGCCACATAAAGACCTGGTGGGAGCTGGGAAGACGCAGAGACTCCCCCAACCCAGGATGAAGGGGAGGATGGGCAACCTGATGGGCTCTGGAGCTAATGTCGTATAGGCACAGGGGCCTTCCTGGAGGAGTCCACCTTCCAGGAACCTGGCACCATCCTTACCTGAGTGTCCTGAAGCTGGGACTCCAGTGCAGAGAAGTCCTTGGTGAGCTTGCTGGACTTGCTGTCGGACTGGGTGAGGAGCCCGGTCACGTTGTCCAGCTCCACCTGCACCAGGAGGGCAGACATGAAGGACCATGGACCCGGGCCCAATGCTCCAGCCCCACCTCGGCTCCTTTAGGTAAAGCTGAACCGGAGCCACAAGCTGAACTGTGAGGGCCTCCCTCAGGAGCCAGTTTGAGTAGACAGAGTCAGAGACAGAGCATGCGTGCACCCGGGGGTCTGGGCCACGACTGCTGCTAGGGCCCACCGCCCGCACTGGCGTCCCAGCGGAGGCCTCACCTGCAGCTTGGTGACCTTGTCGGCCAGCTCCGTGCGCACGCGCTCTCCCTCATTGAACTTGACCTGCAGCTCCTGCAGCTGCGCCTCCACTTTCTTGCGTTTGTGCTCCGAGTCCCCCTTGCCCTGCAGCAGCACCTTCACCTCGTTGGCCAGCTCCCCCCGCTCGTTCTCCAGGGTCTGCTTTGCCTTCTCGAGGTTGGCTTTCACCTGGTGGGGGAGAAAGCGAAGATGTGAGTGGGGTGTCTCCTGACACGAGGCTGGCTGGCCTCTCATCACTGGACCCTAGATCCAGACGTCGCAGCTCCTGTAGCCCCGAAGACAGTGTGCCAGCTGAACTCAGAGGGCTCAGGCCTCATCTGTCCTGCCTCTTCTCTCTTGGCTGGTGAGTGCCACTTGGTTCCTGTCTTCACTGCTGAGGACCTCAGCTTCCCCATCTCTAAAATAATCCCTGCCCAGCCTTCTGATCTTAGCAGTATTTATAACGCAATGAGGGGAACTATAATTGTTTGTAGTTAGACTTCCAAAAAGCCTCTCTGAAGTCTAATGTTCAAAGTAACAATGTAATGTTTTCACCCTCACATAACCACATGGGACAGACCCATCATAATCCTCCCTTATGAACAGGGAAACTGAGGCACAAATCACACAGCCCCTATGAAGGAGAAACTGGCCTCAGAACCAGACAGTTGGGTTGGACTCTGTTAACTGCTCTGCAGGACTGGTTTGGAGACTGGGGACCCTGCCTTCCCCTGGCAGTCTCAGGGGGGCTCTGCCCAAGCACAGGGGATCCCGCCTTTCCCTGGCAGTCTCAGGAGGGCTCTGCACAGCACAGGGGACCCCGCCTTCCCCTGGCAGTCTCAGGGGGTGGGGGCTTTGCCCAGCACAGGGGCCCCACCTTCCCACAGTGGTCTCGGGGGGCTCCGTACCCGCTTCGTCTGCTCCAGCTGCTCTGCCAGCTCTTCCACAGCCTGTGAGTGCTTCTGCCTCATCTCCTGGATCTGGGCCTCGTGGGTCTTGGCCTCCTCCTCCAGGGTCTTCTTCAGGATGTTCACCTCCTGCTCACGTTTTGATCTGGACAGAGAGATCCCCTAAGAGTGGAGGCCGGGGGCACTGGAGCGAGCTGTCCCTGGGGCTCTTCCCTAACCAAACAGATGCCTGGCCAGAGCACAGGCACTCCAGGCAGCTTTTCTATCCATCAGCCCCTCCTGGCCATCTATCCCGCAGCCCAGGCTCAAACACGCATTGTGAGAGGCCTCTGTAGCCTTTCAGCTTTAAAGTCCACCCTTGCCTCACCCCCAATTTTGAGCCAGGTTCTTCAACAGCCTTTCTACTCTGTAGAAAGAAACTGCTGAGGAACCAACAGCTTCCATGCCTGCTGACGCTTAACAAGGCCATGGTGTGTGTGTGTGTGTGTGTGTGTGTGTGTGTGTGTGTGTGTGTTTGTGTGTGTTTATGTGTGTTTATGTGTGTGTGTGTGCGTGCACGCGCGCAAAGGCCCAGGGTCCATGCCTCCAAGCCAAGGCCTCTCTGGCTGCCCTCCCCATCCCCAGGGACTTGGCCCCAGGGCACACCTAAGCTCCTGCTGGGCAGCAGTGGAATCCAGAGTGTCCTCCAACTCTGTTTTCAGTGCCTCTAGCTCTTCCCCAAGGTCCCGTTTCTGCTTCTCAGCTTTATTCCTGGAAGCACGCTCAGACTCCAGGTCTTCCTGGAGTTCAGAGATCTGAGATTCCAGCTCCCGGATCTTCTTGAGGGCCATATTCTTCTGGGCAGCTTCTTCTTCCACTCTGCCAAAGCAACCAACAATATCAGGATGAGGCCAGTTTCACCTCCAAAGAACAGCGTTTGCAGGACAGGCCTGAGAGGGGTGCAGCAGCCAAAGCTGCCTCTGGTGGTCACAATCATAGATAGCACTTAGGACCACTCTCAGCAAAACCAACAACTGAGGCAGCCAGATTTAAGGGCAATACCACTCAGAACTAGAAAACCTCATAGAGGAATCATTTCCATTTCCAAGGTAAGACTCACTGCTTCAAATATTTTTAAAACTCAAATGACTTATAAAATGGGAAGAAAAGGAAATAAAATGCTACACCACAGAATGACTGCAACTAAATAAAAATACAAATGTGCTATGGAGTTCACCAATTAGAACAATTAGAAATGAAGGGACCGGGTACTGGTGGCTCACACCTGTAATGCCAGCACGTTGGGAGGCCAACATGGGCAGATCACAAGGTCAGGAGATTGAGACCATCCTGGCTAACATGGTGAAACTCCATCTCTACTAAAAATACAAAAATTAGCTGGGAGTGGTGGTGCACACCTGTAGTCCCAACTACTCAGGAGGGTGAGGCAGGAGAATCATTTGAACCCGGGAGGCGGAGGTTGCATTGAGCAGAGAGTGCCACTGCACTCCAGCCTGGTGACAGGGAAGACTCCGTCTCAAAAAAAAGGAAAGAAATTAAGAAAGGAAAGGACTGGCCGGGCGCAGTGGCTCAGGCCTGTAATCCCAGCACTTTGGGAGGCCAAGGCGGGCGGATCACGAGGTCAAGAGATCAAGACCATCCTGGTCAACATGGTGAAACCCTGTCTCTACTAAAAATACAAAAAATTGGCAGGGCATGGTGGCGCGTGCCTTTAATCCCAGCTACTCAGGAGGCTGAGGCGGGAGAATTGCCTGAACCCAGGAGACGGAGGTTGCGGTGAGCCAAGATCGCGCCATTGCACTCCAGCCTGGGTAACAAGAGCGAAACTCCAACTCAAAAAAAAAAAAAAAAAAAAAAAGAAAGTCAAGGACTGTTGTAGGTGGGTGATAGAGCTGTGGATGACTTTTTTCAAATTATAAACAAATAAACAAAAGACAAATGAGATACCTCACCGCGCCCTGAATGCACAAGAACTGTTTTGCTATGAAATAAATGGCTCTTCTAAGACAATAGGGGAAAGAATGCTCACAGCTCACTGGTGCAGAGAACCAGGGCCGGCGGCAAGCAGAAAGGGCTGTCCGGCCATCTGGGCTTGGCGGGCAGGCGGGGGCCTCACCTGGCCAGGGCAGCCTGGAGCTCCTCTTCTTTCTTGGCCAGCTGCATCTTGAGCTCCGCAATCTGCGCCTGGAGCTCGGCGATCTGGTCACTGAGGTCCGTGGAGTCTCCCTCCAGCTTCCGGCGTGTTTTCTCTAGCTCCTGCCGCTGCTTTTCCTCCCTGCGGAGGCGCTCTGCAAGGAGGGGGAGCCCACATAGCCCTCAGTGCCTTGGGCTCTTCTGTCTCTGGGTTAGTTACTTATATGAAATACTGAGTCCTCGTTATGAAAAGTGTGTAAGGCTCAAGGCATCACAGATACACAGACACTTGCACCCAACTCCTAGATGCAGGAAGAGGACATCATTGCAAACTGCCAGTCCCTGGTGTGTCACTCTCCACCTCACCCCTTGTCCTTTCCTGCCAGTAGTTAAGTACTTACGTACCCTCCTAAAGCTGACGTTCATAATTCCCTTTTTCCTTGAAGGCTGTACCATGTCTGTATCTTTAAAAACTATGTTCAATATTGTGTGCATCGGAACTTATGTAATGGAACTGCCTTGTGTGAATTCCACAGTTGGAACTGCAGAGTCAGGGCTCAATGTCTAGCTTTATAACTCTGTGATGTCAATACCTCTTCGATGACCTACTTCATTAGGCTGTGTTGTGAGGCGCCAGTGAGTCACATCTTAAAAAACACCGACAACAGGTCGACAATGGTTATTCCCTGACGGGCCTCTGCCGCCCCATCTCACAATCTTGAGATTTAGCCTGTGAAGTTTCGCTGGAATAGATTTGTATGGACATTTGCCTACCATTCCATGATGGGCACACATCACAACTTATTTATGTACCCGTCCTGCAGCTGACAGGCATGGACTGTGTTCACCGCACGCTCTGATAATGCTGCTGCGAGTGCCCTGCTCACTCTCAGCGCACACGACAGAGTGATGGACGGAACCAGCATGCCCAGCTTCAACCTCGCTAGGACTGCCCGATCACCCTCTGAAGTTGTCTACCAGTTTGCAGTTCCAGCAGCAGCCTGTGTGCGCTGTGACAGCTCCGTATCTGTGTTAGTGCTTATCAGTGTCAACCTTTCATGTCTGTCCATCTGGTGGGCACCACCCCTAGACCTCCTGGATGACTGAGTCTTCCAGGCCGCTCCCATGTGAGGGAGGGCATCTGTGGGGGAAGAGATCTCTCTGTGTCTGGACCTCTCTTCCACTGGATGACCTAACTCACCTCATCTCCTGCAGATGTGATGGGGCCGGACAGGGTGGTAAACCCAAGCTGGGGAAAATCCTCCCAGGGGTCGGGTTTTGGCCTCCCTCTCCCGGGTGTGAGCTCAGAGTTCCCACCGTAGTCTGGGTTCTCCTATTTCCCCAGCTGTCCACTCCTCTCAAGAGGCAGAGGCGGGGGTCCTCAGACAACCACAGACCTGTGCTTCTACCCCAGTCCCCCGTTCCTGCCACAGATCCCCAGGGCACAGAGAGATGAGGCAGGATTTGTCACCCTGCCGCAAGTTAAGCAGTGAGTTCCTGTAGTATCTGTCTAGCACTTTATGGTACACGTGTTCACATGTATTTAATGAAATCCTCACAGACACCCTAGCACTGTGTCCCCTTTTTTAGGTAAAACTAAAGCTCATGGAACTTAAGTAAAAGGTGTAAGCTGAACCAGCTCATCAGTGACAGAGCTAGTGAGTCCTCTAGGCCAAAACCAGAGCCACCTTGGAAGCCTCAGAAGCTCCTGAAACCCACGGTGCACGACAACAGGGGAACACCAAGGCTCTCCTCCTAACACGTTTGAAGCTGGGGAGCATCTAGCCACAGAGCAACAGGGGCCTGGAAGCCCAGGCTCCCGCCGGCACCAGACACAGCTCCCCTCGACCTGCTGACCTCGGGTCTGAAGGGCAGCAGCCAGTGCTGCAGTGTGGTCCAGGCTCACCTGTGAGCTGAGGATGCCTCAGTGTTCTGGTCATAGGCCAGCCCCTGCCCACCAGCCCCCTGCCCGTCACCTCCCTCACCTTCTAAGTCAGTGATCATTGCCTCATGCTTGTTCTTGAGCTTGGCAAGGCTCTTAGATTTCTCTTCCTCTTCCATGAGGTTGGTGGTAAACTCAGCTATTCTGTCTTCCAGCAGTTTCTTTTCCTGGTGAAAGAGAGGTAAGTCAGCGTTTAGTATCGGTAGAGCACAGAACACTTTGGCTCTCCTCAAAGCATGACTCGCCAGGAAATTCTGGGCTGAATGGAGAGGGCTATAGACACCTGATCAAATTCATTAGGATTTCCTGGATCAAAGGGTGACTTTGAAAGGTCACCAGCTCTCCTGCAACAGCAAGGTATGTTTCCTCAGAAACAGAAAATGTGGGTGCCCAGGCCCTTCCCCTGACCCCATGGGCTTGGGTGAGAAAGGCTTCTAGGGGACAGCTAGTATCAGCAGGGACAGATGGCTCCATGCCTTCAAGAGGCTGCCACACGGCGCTCACCTGTGCCACCAGGCCAGGCCATCTTCTCCATGCCCCACTAACCCACCATGGCCTCCCTGTTCCTTAGCCCCACAGTGCCCCGGGCTGCTCTCGTTGCTTTCTGCCCTGTGTGGCCCCCGCAACACCCCTGCCCAGGTGCCACAACTTAGCACAAGCATCTCAGTCCCCTCGTCCCAGTCCCAGGTGGGCATCCTGCCACCTCAGCCTTCCAACCCTTTGGTGAGAACACAGGAGCCCCAAAAGGTGGGGAGGCTGCCTTCTCCTGCTTTCTCCTCTAACTCGTTCCTCGACTGCCATCTACTCCCCGGGTAGACACTAACAGGGACACAACTCGCTCTCAGGAGGAACAGCTGCCATCCAGAGACAGCGGAGGAGGAGTACCCCACATCTCAAGGTGCCCCCAACCCCACAGTGACCAACACCTGCAATGCTGCACACATGGCCACCTGTACAGAGGCTCGGGTCTCACAGCTGGCAAAGAGCTTTCCAGAGGGGAAAGGACAAACCCTTTCCCAGGGCCCCTTCAATTTATGAGAAAAATCTCTCCACTAAGGCCCATGGGACCTCCAGGGAGCACCTGCAGCTGAGCAGAAGCCCCCATGCTGCAGGCAGAAGAGACAGGAAGCAGCAGTGGGGGGCTAGAGCCCTGTAGGGCGACCACACTCTCCCACCCACAGGCCCTGTGGAATGGTAGCAGGTCGCGGCCACAGGCCTCACCTTGGCCAGCTTGCAGTTCTGGTCCTCCATGATGATCTGCTCCTCCTCCAGCTTTTTCAGCTTCGCCTCGGTGGTCACCTTCTCCAGCTGCAGCTTCTGCCGGGCGCTCTCCTCCTCCTCCAGCTGCTCCTCGAGCTCCTGCCAGGGCCAGAGACACGGTGAGGACAGCAAGCCCAAGGGCATGGCCAAGGCAAAAGCAGCAAGGTCCGACGGTCAGGGCCACACCAAGGTGAGGATGGCCAGATCTGTGAGCCCAGGGCCATGGCTGAGATGGGGAACGGCAAGATCCATGAGCCCAGGGCCACAGCTGAGGCGGGGCCCAAGCCGTATGTGCAGGATTCCAGATGTCAAACTGGGACAAGGGGCCAGAACCCTGGTGCCATGTTCTGGAGGGTTTCCTGGGGCAAGCTCCCACCCACGGAACAGGGAGGAGGTGGAGTTGCTGGTCCTGCACGATTCTGGCTAGCCAGGGCCAGGGCTGATGGCAGGGAGATCAAATCTGCCTCAATGCTGGCCCAGGCAGTGCTCATGGAGATTTTAGAGGCACACGTCACAGACCACCAACCCAAAGAGAACACCCCTCACTGAGTGCCCCAAGCAGACAGCGTGAGGAGCTGGCCTCCTCGGACGACCCTGATTCCATGTTCTCCCAAGGTTCTGGTCCCTGCTCCTCTGCCCCGCCCTGCCCCTCAGGCCCTGCCCCTCCCTGGGCACAGCAGGCGGGCACCTGGATGTTCTGCTGCATCTTCTTCTTCTCCGCCTGCAGGTGCTGGCAGCGCTCCTCCTCCTCCTCCACCCTGGCCTCCAGGTCGTGGCAGATCTCTTCTAGCTCCTGCTTCTTGGCAGTCAGGCGGGCCCGGAGCTCCTCAGCCTCAGCACACAGCTCGGTTTCTGCCTGGAGCTGCTCCTGCAGCTGCAATTTCTCTGCCATGAGCTGCAAGCAAGTGGAAAACACAAGCTCCTCGCAACACCCTCAAGACACTCCATCCTCTAGGACAGGTGCTGTGGCTCAGGATCCCAGCGGGAAAGGAACATGCAGACAAGAGTAGCTTTCATCTGGAGAGCTCTGAAGCTTCCACACACTTTCCAGACATCCTGTCTTTTACTTTTCACTACCCCATGAGCGCCACACCAAGGTCCCGGGAAATGGGCTTGACCCCAATGCTGGAGAACTTTCCATCCTATTAGGTGGCCTCCCTACATCACGTAACCCCAAATGGAGTCTGCAGAGACTGATCTCTGTTCCTACAGTAACAGGGAATGCAGTTGTAATAAACTCCTATAGTGATCGAAGCTGCCAGCCTGCCATGCCTACCAATGGCCAGGAGGTTGGCAGTACTAGGCAGGCGGCAGGGCAACCTGGACGGAGCCTACACAGACACCCACCTGAGACTGCAGGGTCTCCATCTCCGTCAGCCTGTTCTCCGCAGCCAGCTGCTTCTCTCGGACCTTCACCAGCTCCTCCTCCTTGGCCATCATCTCCTCCTCCTGCCGGCTCACCTGCAGCAGTGGCTTGACCTGGGAAAGGAGATGGAGGTAGAGACACGCTTGGCTGGAAGATGCCCACCTCTGCCAACAGGTGTGAGGCTGCTCCCTTACCTCTGAAACATGACAGTGGGGGCAAGAAGAAGACACGTGGTGGGGGCAGCTGCAAGTGGGCACAGCTTTCCTGGAAATCGATTTGGTGCTCTGTACCATGGGCCTCTGACCCGCTGCCAACTACATTCCAGGGAAACTATCCCTGCGTGTGCGTGAAGGTATTCACCTCAGCAGTGTTCATAATAGCAAGAAAACTAGGAAGGACCCACCTCTAAAAAAGTACCCAGATAATGACGTGTCCCCCAGGGAATAGTACACTACCTCTAAAAAAACAATGCTTATGAAGGAATTGTAAATGGAACGTGCAAACTACAGCACTGTTTATATGAGTCAAACTCAGCTATGGAAGAATGTATACGGTTTACATAGCTGAGGTTTTATAGGCAGTGAGAAAGAGAGCGAGAGAACAAACACTAAAGTAACGGACGCTGATGGTTTAGGGTGAAGGGCTTATGGACGAGCTTTTATTTAATTTTTATTTGTTAGCTGGCTTTCCGCAATTACAATAAATTATGTATTATACACAAAGCAGCCTAGACAAGTTTAAAAATAAAGGGATTTTTTTTTTTTAAGGCCAGGAAGGCCAGCCTGGGCAAGATAGTGAGACCTATCACTATCTTGTCTCTAATAAAAATCAGAAAGGTCCATGCACAGTGGCTCATGCCTCTAATTCCAGTACTTTGGGAGGCCGAGGTGGGAGGACTGCTGGAGCCCAGGTGTCTGTGACCAACCTGGGCAACATAGTGAGACCACACCTCTACAAAAAAACACAAAAATTGCCAGGCACGGTGGCTCAGGTCTGCAATCCCTGCAATTTGGGAGGCCAAGGCGGGCAGATCACAAGGTCAGGAGTTCGAGACCAGCCAGACCAACATGGTGAAATCCTGTCTCTACTAAAAATACAAAAATCGGGCAGTCGTGATGGCACACGCCTATAATCCCAGCCACTAGAGGCTGAAGCAGGAGAATCATTTGAACCCAGAAGGTGGAGGCTGCAGCGAGCTGAGATCACGCCATTGCACTCTAGCGTGGGTGACAGAGACTCTGTCTCCAAAAAAAAAAATAACAAAAACTACAATTAGCCAGGTGTGTGGTGGTGTGCACCTGTAGTCCCAGCTACTCCAGAGGCCCTCCTAGCACTCACCTTGGTGAAAAGCCGCCACCACTGCCAGTTCCGCAGCTTGAGGTAGGCAGCGCAGTTCCGCTGTAGAACCTTCATGGCAGTCAGCTGCTGCTGCCGCTTGGCAAACGCTCTGTGGGATGAGGAACAGGGTCGGCACCACGGGGCAGTGGACAGCAGACCCGACGTAACAGTCCAGGCCTTGTCCTCAAGGCTTTTCCGGGGGATCTCTACCCCTGCCTGGGGCACCTCAAGAAAGAAATTCAGGGAGGGGGCCTGGCCTTGGGGTTGAGATATGTTCCTCCCACTTACAGGCTGTGTGACCCAAGAGGCACTAATCTTACAGTGGGCGGGGGACCTAGGTCACCAGACTATCCCTCCACAGAGGAGCCCATGGAGATGAAGGCCCATGTGAGGTAACCACAGATCCTACTCAGCGTGGGGACTGAGCATGACTCCTGGTCTTGAAGCCAACTGGCCCCAGGTGACTCTGGACTTCAGCTTCCCACCCTTCGTGCTGTCCCGTATCTGAGCTTTTGTTTGGTGGGAGAACGTCAGGAGCTGATGTTCTGCAAAGGTGGGTTGCAGGTGTCAGCTGGAGGGCTTTTGGATAAACAAGGCCCCATCTGTGCAAATGCCACACACGCAGGCTCCATCTCCCAGAGCCCGGCGCGCCGGCTGGGAGCCTCATCCTGGAGCACAAGGGGACGAGTATGCAGTGCCCACACCCGCTGTCCTGCAGCAGGGGAGCCCTCACTCCCCAGGGAGTTGCTCTGGACTTAAGGATGGCCTGGCTCCTCTGGAACCACAGGGCCCTTTAGGGACAGGCAAGCTCTGGGTGTTGTCCCCAAAAGTGTGACACAGTGAGGAGTCCTGACAAGCAGGACCTTTCAGGAAGGAAATCAAAGTAGAGCCACCCTCTTCCCATGCATCACTCTAAACCTCAATCAGAAATGCCTGATTCAGCTGGGCGCAGTAGCTCATGCCTGTAAGCCCAACACTTTGGAAGGCCGAGGCAGCCGGATCACCTGAGGTCAGGAGTACGAGCCTGGTCAACATGAGAAACCCTGTCTCTACTAAAAATACAAAAATTAGCCAGCTGTGGTGGCA